GTTTAAGCTGAGGACTGTAGGTGATGGCCAGTGGAGTTCTGTTGGTTTCATCATAAAGGTTGGGGTGCGGGAGGGAGTGCAGGGTGTGGGAGGGGTGTGAGAGGGGGTGCGGTGTGCAGGAATGGGCTCAGGGCAAGGGATTGGGGCAGAGGAGGAGTGAGGGGTGTATGAGGGGGCTCAGGGAAGGGGGTTGGGGTGCAGGAGGGGTGCAGAGTGCAGGAGGGGGCTCAGGACAGGGGGTTGAGGTGCAGGAGGGATGCTGAGTGCAGGAAGGGGCTCAGGGCAGGAGGTTGGGGTGCAGTAGGGGTGCGGGGTATGACAGGGGGCTCAGAGCTGAGAGTTGGAGTGCATGGGGGTGCTGGGTGCAGCAGGGGGCTCAGGGCAGGGGATTGAGGTGCAGGCAGGGGGCTTAGGGCAGGGAGTTGGGGTGCAGGAGGGGTGCAGGGTGCAGGCAGGGGGCTCAGGGCAGGGGAGTGGGGTGCAGGAGGGGTGCAGGGTGTGGCAGGGCCAGATCCAGCCCACGGGCATTAGGCTGTGTCTGGGCACACCCGGCACACCCCATGCGCTCTCAGGGAGAAAACGGAGGCTCCTCTCGGGTTATTCTCCATGATGTAGGTGGTGTAGGATGTTTTATCGAAGAAAGGGGCATTGTCGCTCGTGTCTAAAATCCGGAGTGGGATTGTGGTGGCTGTAGAAAGAGGAGGAGTCCCATTGTCCGTGGCGGTCACTGTGATGTTGTATGCTGCCACCTGCTCCCTATCCAGGGCTAGGTCTGTCACCAGACTGTAATAATTATCCAACGATTTCCTCAGCTGGAAGGGGAGGTTGCTGGGTGTGGAGCATGTGACAACCCCGTTCTCTCCGGAATGTAGATCTTGCACAGTCACGGGGGGAGAGTCCTCAGGGATCGAGTCGACAAAAGACGAGAGACGTGATTGGTAATCCTGGTCACAATTTTGGATCTGTCAAAAAGGCCTCCCCCGTCATGGGCTTGCACCTCGATTTCATATAAAGCAGCTTCTTCAACGTCCATGTTCCCCACGACTGTTAATTCTCCCGTCCTTGAATCCAAGTGGAATGTCCGTGAAGCTTTATTAGTTATCTTTCTGATTTGAGTATTAGAACATAAGAACATAAGAATGTCCCTACTGGGTCAGACTAAGGGCCAGGTGCCCCAGAGGGAATGAACAGAACAGGTAATCATCAAGTGATCCACCCTCTGTCGCTCATTCCCAGCTTCTGGCAAACAGAGGTTAGGGACACCATTCCTGACCATCCTGGCTAAAAGCCATTGATGGACCTATCCTCCATGAATTTATCTAGTTCTTTTTTAAACCCTATTATGGTCTTGGCCTTCACATCCTCTGGCAAGGAGTTCCACAGGTTGACTGTGTGTTGTGTGAAGAAATACTTCCTTGTATTTGTTTTAAACCTGCTGCCTATTAATTTCATTTGGTGACCCCTTAGTTCTTGTGTTATGAGAAGCACTAAACAACACTTCCTTATCTACTTTCTCTACACCAGACATGATTTTATAGACCTCAATCAGATCTCCCCTTAACCATCTCTTTTCCAAGCTGAAAAGTCCCAGTTTTATTAATCTCTCCGCATACAGAAGCTGTTCCATACCCCAAATCATTTTAGTTGCCCTTTTCTGAACCTTTTCCAATTCCAATATATCTTTTTTGAGATGGGGCAACCACATCTGCACATAGTATTCATGATATCGGCGTACCATGGATTTATATAGAGTCAGCATGATATTTTCTGTCCTATAATCTATCCATTTCTTAATTATTCCCAGCATTCTGTTCACTTTTTTGACTGCCGCTGCGCATTGAGTGGATGTTTTCAGAGGACTATCCACAATGACTCCAAGATCTCTTTCTTGAGTGGTAACAGCTAATTTATACCCCATCATTTTATATGTATAGTTGGTATTATGCTTTCCAATGTGCATTACTTTGCATTCATCAACATTAAACTTCATCTGCCATTTTGTTGCCCACTCACCCAGTTTTGAGAGATCCTTTCGTAGCTCTTCACAGTCTGCTTTGGACTTAACTATCTTGAGTAGTTTTGTATCATCTGCAAATTTTGCCACCTCATTGTTTACCCCTTTTTCCAGATCATTTATGAACATGTTGAATAGGACTGGTCCTAGAACAGACCCCTGGGGGAACACTACTATTTATCTCTCCATTCTGAAAACTGACCATTTATACCTACCCTTTGTTTCCTATCTTTCAACCAGTTACCAATCCATGAAAGCACCTTCCCTCTTATCCCGTGGCAGCTTACTTTGCGTAAGAACCTTTGGTGAGGGACCTTGTCAAAGGCTTTCTGAAAATCTAAGTACACTATATCCACTGGATACCCTTGGTCCACGTGCTTGTTGACCCCCTCAAAGAATTCCAGTAGATTGGTGAGGCATGATTTCCCTTTACTAAAACTGTGTTGACTCTTCCTCAACAAATTATGTTCATTTCTGACAATATTGTTCTTTATTATAGTTTCAACCAGTTTGTCCGGTACTGAAGTCAGACTTACAGGCCTGTAATTGCCAGGATCACCTCTGGAGCCCTTGTTAGAAATTGGCGTCACATTAGCTATCCTCCAGTCATCTGGTCAGAAGCTGATTTAAATGATAGGTTACAGACTACAATTAGTAGTTCTGCAATTTCACATTTGAGTTCCTTCAGAATTCTTGGGTGATTACCACCTGGTCCTGGTGACTTATTGCTGTTTAATTTACCAATTTGTTCCAAAACCTCCTCTAATGATACCTCAATCTGGGACAGTTCCTCAGATCTAAAAAGAATGGCTCAGGTTTGGGAATCTCCCTCATATCCTCAGCTGTGAAGACCAATGCAAAGAATTCATTTAGTTTCTCCGCAATGGCCTTATCGTCCTTGAGTGCTCCTTTAGCACCTTGATCGTCCAGTGGCCCCACTGGTTGTTTAGCAGGCTTCCTGCTTCTAATGTACTTAAAAAAAAATTGCTATTACTTTTTGAGTCTTTGGCTAACTGTTCCTCAAATTCTTTTTTGGCCTTCCTAATTGTATTTTTACGCTTCATTTGCCAGTGTTTATGCTCCTTTCTATTTTCCTCACTAGGATTTAACTTCCACTTTTTAATGGATGCCTTTTTGCCTCTCACTGCTTCTTTTACTTTGTTGTTTAGCCATGGTGGCTCTTTTTTGGTTCTCTTACTATGCTTTTCAATTTGGGGTATACATTTAAGTTGAACCTCTATTATGGTGTCTTTAAAAAGTTTCCACACAGCTTGCAGAGATTTCACTTTTGGCACTGTACTCTTTAATTTCTGTTTAACTAACCTCCTCATTTTTGTGTAGCTCCCCTTTCTGAAATTAAATGCTACAGTGTTGGGTCACTGTGGTGTTTTTCCTACCACACGGATATTAAATTTAATTATACTATGGTCACTATTACCAAACGGTCCAGCTATATTCACTTCTTGGACCAGATCCTGTGCTCCACTTAGGACTAAATCAAGAATTGCCTCTCCTCTGGTGGGTTCCAGGACCAGCTGCTCCAAGAAGCAGTCATTTAAGGTGTCAAGAAACTTTATCTCTGCATCCTGACCTGAGGTGACATGTGACATTTTACCTCTTGGGGTATTCCTTCACCCGGATCAGTCGCTTTCATGGTCACCATCCTGGACCCCATAGGCATATTTTCTAAAACATTAAATTTGTAGACAGGCTGACTAAAAACTGGTGCATTGTCGTTAGCATCGTTAACAATAACATGGATTTGCGCAGTGCCGGACCTGACTGGATCTCCCCCGTTAGTGGCTATGAGGATTAGATCATGGATCTAGCTTGTTCTTTGTGGTCCAGAGACTTTTCCAGCACCAGTTCTGGAATATTTAACTTCATCTGATCCAGTTTGCACATCCAGAGAGAAATGCCTATTACTGCTGAGGTGGTAGCTCTGGAGAGAATTTATCCCTAAATCTGGGTCTTGCGCCTCCTGAAGGGGAAACCGCGATCCCGGTGCTGTTGTCTCACTGATTTTTACTTCCAATTCTTCTGTCTGGAAGTTGGGAGCACTGTCTTTAATCTCTGTGATTTCCACTTCAACTCTATAAAGCTTCATTTTTTCTTCAACAATAATCTCAGAATCTTGTACGTCTAATACGGCGATCACAGTCCCAGGTGGACAGTCCTCGGGGACTGAATTGAAGAGAGACCTGATAATAATTTCAAGAGCATTGTCATTCACATAATTGACCACAATGACAACTTTTGATCTGTCAAAATGGCCTCCCTTGTCATGTGCTTGCACCTCAATTTCATATAACGCAGATTCCTCAAAGTTCAGGTTCCCCACGAATGTTATTCCACCCTTTTTTGAGTCCAAGTGGAATATTTTGGAAGCTTTCTCTGTTATTTTCCTGAATTAGTATTTTATCTCTTTGTTGACTCCTTCATCCAGATTGGTGACTTTTACTGTAACCACTCTGGAACCTTTCTGCAAATTTTCCAAAATGTTCACTTTCTAGACAGGCTCATTAAAAACCGGCACATTGTCATTTGCATCAAGAACGATAATTCTAATTTGCGCAGTGCCAGACCTGACTGGCTCCCCCCATGTCTAGCTGTGAGGACTAGATCATGAACAGCTTTTTCTTCTCTGTCCAAAGACTTTTCCAGCACCAATTCGGCATATTTTACTCCATTTGATCCATTTTGCACACCGAGAGAAAAGTGCCTATTACTGCTGAGCTGGTAGCTCTGGAGAATATTAGTTCCAAAATCTGTGTCCTGTGCTTCTGGGAGAAGAAATTGCGACCCTGGAGCTGTTGTTTCACTATTTTTTATCTCAATTTCTTCTGCTTGGAAGCTGGGAGCATTGTCATTTATATCTGTGATTTCAATTTCAACTCTATAAAGCTTCATTTTATCCTCCACTATAACCTCACTGTTTAACAGACACTCCCTCCAGCCCGTCACAGATCTGCTCTCTGTCTATCCTTTCCGTGGTGAGTAAATGGCCTCTCAAAATTCAAAGGAAAATACCGAGTCCTACCTTTGGAAACAAAGCGGACGCTGTGGTCTGAGAGCTGCTTTACATCCAGTCCCAGATCCTTTGCCACATTCCCCATGAAAGATCCTTTCTCCGTTTACGCCGGAATCAAATAGCGAATCTGCCCAGACACTGCCTTCAAAACGGTAACCAATATAAAGCAGAACAGAGCTCGCCCTTTGCAGTGCCAGAGCCTTGTGTATCTGCCATTCCTGCGGAGATGTGGAGAAGCATCTGATTCTCCGTCAAGGAAAAGGTCTCCGTTTAGATTTTATCTTTGGGTAAACGTTTCCAAAACTATCTATAATTAAACCAAATCCAATTTCAGCTAATATTGTTCTTTGCTGTCATCCAGACCCGGTGTGTGTGTGAATCTGTTCACTCTGTGTTCTGTGCTGAGTAACTGCGGGCTAGGCTGGCTCGATCTCTCATTGCATTTCTCCCCTTGTAGGTGAACAGTGCCCCTTAGAGCCTCAACCAATAAATGCAGTATCTCCATGCTGGAAATTTTAAAGCGGTATTTATATTTGAGATTTAATATTGTAAATAAGCCACTTTCTGTTTCTTTGGTAAATATACCTGATGCCGAGGGAAGGAACAAAATGTTGGATGCTGGGAGATCTCACTTTATTCCTTTGAAAGAGTTACTGATAATGGTTGGTGTAGTTTAAATATGGGTGTGTATGAATTATACATACTCAGATTTTTTTAGACATATCAGATATATGTCTTTTAATCTAACAGTCCATCTGTTTGAATGTCATTCGTGTGGTCACTTGTCATATTCTAATATCCTCTTTTAGTGACTTTATTCCTAACATATACATATGTCACATGGGGTAATATTTTGTTCACATCTGAGATATTTTGACTTGGTCAAATCTGCCATTTAAGTCACAGTATTCATTACCAGCTCAATGGATGAAACAGGAATACAGAAAACATGAGTGCTCACTATGGATGAGCTCTGTCAAATGGGTGACATAAAATAATCTGTACTCCATAAATTTTCAATTCTTGTAATTTTAACATTCAGTTAACAATTGAGAATAGAATGAGAGGCTTCATTGAAAATTATACCAGAAAAGGGCAATAATGCATAAATGCAAAATATGAACAGACAAACATGTGTATTTATATACAGATGCCCAACACACACATATACAGATATATACCACATATCTGGTAGTAATACCAGTTTGACAAACTGCCTACTCATATAGGATACCACAAGATCCATTGTCTACAGCCAAGCTCTAAGATACAACCGCATTTGCTCCAATCCCTCAGACAGAGACAAGCACCTACAAGATCTCTATCAAGCATTCTTAAAACTACAATACCCACCTGCTGAAGTGAAAAAACAGATTGACAGAGCCAGACATGTACCCAGAAGTCACCTCCTACAAGGCCCAACAAAGAAAATAACAGAATACCACTAGCTGTCACCTTCAGCCCCCAACTAAAACCTCTCCAGTGCATCATCAAAGATCTACAACCTATCCTGAAAGATGATCCCTCACTCTCACAGATCTTGGGAGACAGACCTGTCCTCGCTTACAGACAACCCCCCAACCTGAAGCAAATACTCACCAGCAACCACACATCACTGAACAAAAACACTAACCCAGGAACCTATCCTTGCAACAAAGCCCGATGCCAACTCTGTCCACATATCTATTCAAGTGACATCATCATAGGACCTAATCACATCAGCCATAACATCAGGGGCTCGTTCACCTGCACATCTACCAATGTGATATATGCCATCATGTGCCAGCAATGCCCTTCTGCCATGTACATTGGCCAAACCGGACAGTCTCTACGCAAAAGAATTAATGGACACAAATCTGACATCAGGAATCATAATACTCAAAAACCAGTGGGAGAACACTTTAACCTGTCTGGTCATTCAATGACAGACCTGCGAGTGGCTATTTTACAACAGAAAAGCTTCAAAAACAGACTCCAACGAGAAACTGCTGAACTCAAATTGATATGCAAATTAGACACAATCAATTTAGGTTTGAATAAAGACTGGGAATGGCTGAGCCATTACAAACATTGAATCTATCTCCCCATGTAAGAACTCTCACACTTCTTATCAACCTGTCTGTACTGGGCTATCTTGATTATCACTTCAAAAGGTTTTTTTCTCTTACTTAATTGGCCTCTCAGAGTTGGTAAGACAACTCCCACGTGTTCATGCTCTCTGTATGTGTGTGTATATATATCTCCTCAATATATGTTCCATTCTATGCATCCGAAGAAGTGGGATGTAGCTCACGAAAGCTTATGCTCAAATAAATTTGTTAGTCTCTAAGGTTCCACAAGTACTCCTGTTCTTTTTGCGGATACAAACTAACACGGCTGCTACTCTGAAACCTGAAATAAAATCACATGATTATTTGGTTTATTCTGCACCTTTGGTCACTGAGACTCACAGACTTCAAGGCCAGAAGGCAACGACTGCGATCATCCAGTCTGACTGCCTGCACATTGCAGGCCACAGAACCTCACCCACCCACGCCTGTGATAGACCCATAACTTCTCACTGAGTTACTGAAGTCCTTAAATTCCTCATGATTTAAAGATTTCAAATTGCAGAGAATCTACCATTTACTCTAGTTTAAACCAGTAAGTGACCCATGTCCCAAGATGCAGAAGTAGGCAACATTCCCCCCTCTCCCCCCAGTCTCTGCCAATCTGACCCCTGGAAAAATTCCTTCCCAACCTCAAATATGGTGATCAGTAGGATCCTGAGCATGTTGGCAAAACCCACCAGCCATACACCTGAGAAAATATTGTCTGTAGTGATTCAGAGCCCTCCCCATCTAGTGTCCCATCTCCAGCCATTGGGGATATTTGCTACTAGCAGTTGCAGATAGGCCACTTCCCATTGTAGGCTATCTCATCATACCTTCCTTTCCCTAAAATTATCAAGCTCAGTCTTGAAGCCAGTTAGGGTTTTTGCTCCCATTGTTCCCCTTGGAAGGCTATTTTAGAACCTCACTCCTCTGATGGTTAGAAATCTTTATGTAATTTCAAGACTAAACATGTTGAGGGCCAGTTCATATCCATCTGTTCTTGTGTCAATATTGGTGCTTAACTTAAATAACTCCTTTCCCTCCCTGGTATTGATCCTTCTGATGCATTTATAGAGAGTAATCATATCTCCCATCAGTCTTCTTTTGATTAGGCTAAACAAGCTAAACTCCCAGAGTCTCCTGTCAGTGTAGATTTCCACTCCTCTGATAATCCTAGTGGCCCTTTTCTGCACCTGTTCCTGTTTGAATTAATCTTTCTTAAACATGGGAGACCAGAACTGCACACAGTATTCCAGATGAGGTCTCACCAGGGCCTTGTATAATGGTAATAACACTTCTCTATGTCTACTGAAAATACCTTGCCTGATGAATCATAGGATTGCATTAGCTTTTTCATGGCTGCATCACTTTGGAGGCTCATAGTCATCCTGTGATTGACCACTAATAACCTCCCTCCAGCCTGACAGTTCTCCTTTCAGTATGACCTGTTGTAGTCTCCCTTTTAATCAGTTCCTTATCCACCTTTCAATTCTCATATTAATCTCCTTCTTCTCCAATTTAACTAATAATTTCCCATGTGGAACTGTATCAAATGCCTTACTGAAATCCAGGTAGATCTACTGTATTTCCTTTGTCTAAAAAATCAGTTATCTTCTCCAAGAAGGAGATCAGGTTGGTCCGGCATGATCTACCTTTTTTGTAAAACCATGTTGTATTTCATCCGTGTTACCGTTTACCTCTTTGTCCTTACCTACTTTCTCTTTCAAAATTTGTTCCAAGACCTTGAATACAATTTAGGTCAAACTAAAAGGCCTGTAGTTTCCTGGATCACTTTCTCTCCTTTCTTATAAATAGGTACTATATTAGCAATTTTCTAATCATAGGTCATGACCCCCAAGTTTACAGATTCATTCAGTTGCACTCTGTCCGCCACTTAATCTTTCATGACAAGTTGTGAGATCCCAAGTCACTGGACACTTCACAAATTGGAAGGTTTCCAGAGAAATATTTCCTTTTCCCCCTCCAAATGTAGAATATGCTCCCTTGCCACACCTAGAAATATTTAAATGGTCCCAGACCCACCATAGATACTATTCTCTCATGCACCCAGTGACAGTTCTAAGGCTCGCCACCTGGGGATCCTGAAGGGCTGTAAGTAGATCCATGTTACCGAAAAGGAGAGAGTTTCACATTCCCATTGGGAATCAAAGCTTGCTCTTAACTCTGAAAAGTGGCACAAAGAAATTTCCCCAAAATATGACATTTGTATGTATATGAAGGCATTTGGAGGACATTTCTAAATATTTGTATAACTCCTTGTGAACACTGAACATTGGCTCAGGGTAGCTAAGAGAAATCTGGTGTTACAACTGCAAATAAAGAAAAATTGCCCTATAATATTTTTGTAATCTCACCAATATTTGGAAAAGTGTTTTTCCCCTTTAAATAGTATGGCATATCCAGAATAACTAATAGTGTTATGTAAAGATTTTATCATCACTTACTTAGCATGATACATCAAGGCTCTGCCACTGTTGAGTAATAAAATCATAAAAACGTATGCCATTAAAACATCTATATCACACCACTACCCAAAATAATGCTATAATAGAAAGACATTACCCAAAGAACAAGAGTATCTTTCTATACTTGCAGCTATAGCAACTACCCAAGATGTTACAGAATCATAGAATTGTAGGACTTGAAGGGACTTCTAGAGGTCATCTAGTGCAATCCCCTGCACTCATGGCAGGACTAAGTATTATCTAGACCATCCCTGGCAGGTGTTTGTGTAACCTGGTCTTAAAACTCTCCAACGGTGGAGATTCCATAACCCCGCTAGGCAATTTTTTAACCACGCTGACAATTAGGAAGTTTTTCCTAATGTCCAATGTAACCTGCCTTTGCTGCAATTTAAGACCATTGCTTCTTGTCCTAGCCTCAGAAGTTAAGGAGAACAATTTTTCTCCCTACTCTTTGTAACAAACTTTTATGTACTTGAAAACTGTTATGTCCTCTTTCAGTCTTCTCTTCTCCAGACTAAACAAACCCAATTTTTTCAATCTTCCCTCATAGATCATGTTTTCTAGACCTTTAATAATTTTTGTTGCTCTTCTCTGGACTTTCTCCATTTGTTCACATCTTTCCTGAAATATGGCACCCAG